AAACAAACTTAAAGGGTGAGTATTACCACCTGGATTGTGTTGTTTGAACAGGTATAAAGCCAAGGTTGGCGATTTACTGCCACCTGCAGTTATGGAACGTTTGCACACAAGTATAATTCATTGGCTGATCCATAGAGAATGATAGAGGCCTCTAGTGGCCAAAAGGCAATTTTAGCATGGGCAGCGCCATTGAGGGCTTACACCATTTTTATGTAATCAACTGGGTGGTACTTCCAACTTTATTGGCTGTTCCATCCTGGTGATCCTGTTGTAGTCATGTCCAACCGGGTCATCAGGAGGGATCCTCTAATCATGAAGAAAATTGACTACTTCAAAATGGAGATTGCCTCAATGGCGCTTCCCATGCACTCACAGACACCATGATGGGAACTATATAGGGATGCTTTCTCTGTCATTCTCTATGGGCTGATCCCTCCTGGTGACCTGGATGGAATTATGTGATCCTTCCTTAACCCATAGGAAGTCCTTCCCAGTTGACTAGTTCAAAATGGTGAAAGTCCTCAATAACGCTGCCCATGCAAAGTAAGGCTGGAATTCATTCCGATCGCCCCTTTTCGGCTATGCACCATAACTGCAAAAACGCGGCTATGCAATGTAACCGCAGTCGCAGACATCCCATTCAAAGTAAACGCTGCAGATGTCCACTCAATAGGAATTTACCTTTAAAGGGATAATCCACTTCAGAAATTAAACTCCTGTCAATGTGGTGATAGGCTATGTTATGAGAGGGTAAAATAACTATTTTCATCGTGATTTAAACCAATCAAAACGTGTGTACTATCCAGTAACGATGGGTCATTCGTGAACGAACGGCTCTTTTTGAACTGATCTTTTTGGTGAAAGTCAGGAACCGAATCACATCGGTGAACGACCCGTTCTTTTAGCTCCCTGATTTGTATACTGCTACTACTGCTGTTTGAGCTCAAAACAAAGAAGGTGAATCCTCACTGCAGAAACAATAAATAGTGGGGGGAGCGCCTCAATCTTGTCCACGCTGATTTTCTTACAATTTGGCCTGGTAGAAATGTATTTGAACGCGCATTTCACGATCTGACATTGGAGATTTGAATTTTTTCATGGTTCTAGTTAAATTCGGAAGCATTTTGAACAAATAGTTGTTTGGGAGCCAAATGAGCCGGCTCTTTTATGTGAACGGAGCCAAATGACCCAGCTCACAGAAAGGATTGACAGCACAAGATAAACTATTTAGTTATAGAAACGTGATACCATAAATGCAAGCTGTAAAATGACTCCCAAATTAGAATGCAGCAACCGTAAAGAAGCTAGATTGCTAGTTAGCTAGTTACAGCAAGTAGATCTGTTTCTAGTTAGCAGGAGCAGATATTTTTAGTCACTAGCTAGCATGTCATTCCGGGACAAGGAGCATTTTAGCTATCAGTTTATTCCAATAAATAATGTAAGACTACAAAAATCTACAGGACAAGTAGTGTAAAGCTAATACAGTCATCAAGACAGGACCCACTAATTTCTTTCATACTGAAAAATAAGAAATGCCACATTATACCTGTCAACAGTTGACAGAGATGATTGCAGAGCACCCTGCCCCATACTGTCAGGACGTTCATTTTCTAGCTCACAAACTACATTCCTTTGCTCTGATGATTTATTTGATTAATTCTTTCACTTTTGTCTCAGATGATCTTTTCAGCTCTCCTGTGTCCTGCTCCCAGAGATCAACCAAGTGCTATTCACCAAGCATGAGCTAATTCACTCACCTGTGAGGAGACCCATCCTACTGCAGCTTGAACTAGCCCTGCGGTCACTATTTAGACATTGGGACCACATACGCATTTGCCTGTGGATTTTGTCTTATACAGTCTAGTGCATTTTAGAGTTGAAGAAGACCCACTACTGATACACATGGTTGTTTGAGCATTTTTATTCATTATTGTCTATCACACCAAAAGGCTCCTTAACAGCTTCTACCTCCAAGCCATAAGACTGCTGAATAGTTAATCAAATGGCTACCCGGACTATGTGCATTGACCCCCTTATTTTATTATTATTTATAGACATTGAGACCACAAACTACAGATACACTAACTACAGACACACGTGCATCTCGAAGACTAAATTCAATGTAGATTTAGTTTAACAGGTGACAAACAGATTACTTTACAACTGTAACATGCAGTGGGGAGAATTATATTGTCCCTGTTAGGAGCACAGGCTTTTGCCATAAATGATAGAGTTCTTGCCTCTTGACCACACAAGCTTTATACCTCACAAGCATTCTGCTAAGGCACTTGTCTCTCTCTACATCGGTCAGCTACATTGGTGACCAGGGTGGGTGGGATCCTTTCGATACACCTATGGGGCCTGGGCACACAAATGCTCCTAGAAAGAAGGGGGAAAACTCAATATTAGGAAGGTGTTTTGATTGGTAGGTTACACTATATTTAGATACTTCAAATACTGTCTGAGACACCTTTGCTATTTGTCTCCTTACTCAATAAATGATGAAACATTTTGTGATGGTGTTCTTTGTTTGAATGTACATGCATGAAATGTACATTATGGAAAATAGTTAGTAGAATAATGAATGGATTGGCAAGATTTTGGCACCATCAACTTTTAGAAGGTTAGTAGGAATGTTAATCATTTAAACCACCTAAATATACTCACAGTCACTAAACATTAAGTATTTGAAACTCAAACATTCATTTCCCAACTGCTTTTTCTAGAATCCTACATGCTCGTTATCATTCTCGATACCAATGCATCCAACATTATGCATGCCCACCAAACTGGTTATCTTATTGCAGAGCACATTGTACAACTGTTTTTAGAGAAGATTGTATTGCAAGGTATGCCAGATGTGTAGGCTATAACATATGTATTGGCTAATATGCATATGCAGTTGTCATTTGTAAACCTCCATTCTAGCGTACATGACAAAAACACATCTTTCTATCTACATTACATGCTTTTATTTGGGTTTCTATGCAAATTATATCATTGTATTTCTTTAAGGCTGCAGCTAGTTGCTTGATATGAGACAATCATGACAAAACATGATTCAAAATTCAATTCACTGACAGAGAGATAGCTAATGAAACACTAGATTCCTGTGCAGGCACATTGATGTTTACAGTATTAGCTGGCTAGGCTAGACAATGACATTGGCTAAGTTTCAATTAATTGACTAAATGGTCAATGGAGTTACCGCTTCATACGATCAAGACCATTCATATTGCATTCTGCATATTTCAAGTGCACTCGAAAACAGATATTTATCTTATTTCAGTCTTTGGGAGCTAACATTGGATCCACACACTGACAGCAGATCAGAGGCTTTGTTTATATCGTAGATAGAAGCAGGCCATTGTCTGCCTTCATCACGAGGGGTATGTACGGGAGTTCTGATTGGTTCTAAGTTTAGCAGTTTGTAAATTTGACAGAGCAGACAGTGTTGAAATATAATTTTCCTTTATGGTAGAGTGGCCAGACGGAAGCCACTCCTCAGGAAAAGGCACATGACAGCCCGCTTGTAGTTTGCCAAAAGGCACCTAAAAGACTCTCAGACCATGAGAAACAAGATTCTCTGGTCTGATGAAACCAAGATTGAACTCTTTGGCCTTAATGCCAAGCATCACGTCTGGAGGAAACCTGGCACCATCCCTACAGTGAAGCATGGTGGTGGCAGCATCATGCTGTGGGGATGTTTTTCAGTGGCAGGGACTGGGAGACTAGTCAGGATCGAGGGAAAGATGAACAGAGCAAAGTACAGAGAGATGCTTGATGAAAACCTGCTCCAGAGTGCGAAGAACCTCAGACTGGGGCGAAGGTTCACCTTCCAACAGGACAACGACCCTAAGCACACAAGACAACACAGGAGTGGCTTCGGGACAAGTCTGAATGTCCTTGAATGGCCCAGCCAGAGCCCGGACTTGAACCCGATCGAACATCTCTGTAGAGACCTGAAAATAGCTGTGCAGCGACACTCCCCATCCAACCTGACAGAGCTTGAGAGGATCTGCAGAGAAGAATGGGAGAAACTTCTCAAATACAGGTGTACCAAGCTTGTATTATCATACCCAAGAAGACTCAAGGCTGTAATCGCTGCCAAAGGTGCTTCAACAAAGTACTGAGTAAAGGGTCTGAATACTTATGTAAATGTGATACATAAAAAAAAATATCTATATACATTTGCAAAACATTCTGAAAACCTGTTTTTGCTTTGTCATTATGGGGTATTGTGTGTAGAATGATGAGGGGGGGGGGGGGGGGGGGAGACAATTTAATACGTTTTAGAATATGGGTGTAACATAACAAAATGTGGAAAAAGTCAAGGGGTCTGAATACTTTTCGAATGCACTGTATATATTAAAAAAGATGCTGAACAATCCTAAGGGTGGAGTGTTTCTGCATGATATAGTTACAGTTTAATGGGGTAGGGTGTGGTAGAAGTTAGTGATTTTTTTGGTTTTTATTTTTATTTTCATGGCAGTACAGAATTGGGCAGATCATGATTGATCGTACATTCTTGCACAGTAGGTGGCGGCATGCACTTAAACGATTGTTTGCAGACCTCCATGATAGCATAGAAGAAGAAGAAGAAGAAGAAGAAGAAGAAGCAGCAGCAGCAGCAGCAGCAAGAACAGTGAGTTAGTTATACAAATATTTGACAGAGTTGCCATTTGAAGAAAGTATACAGACCATTTGAACAATAAGGTAAGACTTTTCCAAATACCATAGATTATCATTATTGGAAATTAATATAGAAAGTGCCAGCTAGCAATGTACACTAACACGGTAGCAAGCTGATCCAGCTACAATATCCGAGTTTGTTCTGGTTGCGGAAGATGGCGGCGAGTGCAGACGGGATTTTATCTTGCTCCGAGTAACCTTACATTTAAGTAAATATGAGGGATAAAAGTTAACAAAACCCGGTGTATAGTAAACACAATAGAGAACAACGCTCAGTAGACCGCTAATTTGATCTGAAACTTGGCAAAATGGAAGAAAATAATGTGCGAAAGAGCAAAGGGAGGAGAAGGCAGTTGCTAGCTGACCACTCATACACCGGAGAGAAACCTCCACCTGACTCCTCAGGAGAAGAAATTGAGGAATCTGGACTTTCGGTTGATTCAGAAACTCCAACCAATAGTCCTGCACCCAAAAAGAATTGTCTTTGCGGGAACTCCAGGTCAACATAATCGATGCTGTCACTGCAAAGATAAACGAAAGAGTCGATGGTCTGGAGAAAATGATACGCGAAAACACATCAAAAATCGTTGACCTCGAGACCTCTCTGAATCATGCATACGAGAGTATAGAAGAGCTTAAACGTGCAAACACTGCAACCTCTGATAAATGCACTGCACAGGAGAAGACCATCGCCGACATGCAAGAGCGCTTGTCGGAAGCACAGCGATGCCGGAGAAGGTGGGGGCTACGGCTTTATGGTGTCCCGGAGGCAGTGGCGGCTCCTGAAAAAATTCTCAGGGGGGGCAATTTTTCTGATGATTTAGGTGACCTACACACATTTAAAAAAAGATATGTCCAGCAACAACATGAAGACAGGGGCAGCATATAAGTCAATACCAGAAGCATTTATTGACTGATCTCAAAAGTGTTGGCTTACAAAAGCAAAATAAGTTATCACAGTAAAAATAATCAAGGGTGTTCTTTCACATTCCTCAACACTGCATAAACAATATGCATTTCCATAAAACACCTCATCTAATTGTGCCACAAAGTTGACAAGTCCAAGAAAAATACCAGGGTTGGTGGAGCCCTCAGTTTCATCTTTGCCTCGCAAAGCTAACTCAAACACTCCGCAAAACTTCACACACTGGATTAGCCGGCTGAGGATGTGGCGGTTCTTGCTAACCTCATCGTTGTGGCGGCGGACAGCTAGCCTGTATCCCTCATTCAGTTGAGTGGCAATGTTCACTCTCCCCAAAGCAGACTATCTCAAACAGCTATCCATGTGGGTCTTTGACAGCTCATGTTTCTTAATATTTTCTGAAAGATGGTGCATGTCCGTTACACCAGTCGCTGTCCAAGCGGTGCTGTCTGCCATGCCGCCTTCAGGGTGAAAGAGTAAGCAGGGGTAGCAGAAGACTGCATTAGCTACATCGCAGCCTGCTAGCCAGGTTTTTCGTTCGTACCAATTTTTGGAAAATCCTCAGGTGTAGGACTTTCCCCCTTTAGTAGAAACCTGTTGAATTATTAAATTTGGTCTGGGAGGTCCTAATTGTTTCGTTGCCAATTTATCTTGATTTGTTCGCCGACAAAAAGGAACTTCTTTCAAAGAGACAATCGAGTTGCACTGAACGCTAGCCATCTTGACAGTAGTACGTGAATTGATTGACGCTGCTACCCGCTCTTTTCTTAGTTACGTTCATGGTTATGTTACGTATGACGAAAGCGTGTAAGTGCAAGCCCTCCCGGAACCCATAGAGATTGTATTGAAAGCTCTGATATTTGAAAAAAAAAGATTTTACATGAGAGTCTATGAGAGACTTCTGGGGCGATTTTCAACCTGACTGAAATCGCCCCAAAAGGGGCGGGGCCATTTGAAGCACGACTTTAGCCTGATTGGACATTTAGTGGCAGATCAGACGTCTAGATTAGAACACTGACAACTACTGTTGCCGAGATATAATTGATTAGAAAAAAAATCCCTTCCTTTTCCCGTTTGGCAGTGCGTCGCCCATATCGCCCTAATGAACACACCGCCCCTGCCCGGAGGGCCAGGGTGAGAATGTGAAGCGCATTGTAAGTGACATATGTAACCGTGTGGCTCCGGACTTCCCCGAAGGATATATGGCTGTGGATATCGCCCATCGTATTGGGAAGAAGCAAGATGCCATCGGCAGCCGCTCGATCATCATCCAGTTCGCTTTCCACACAGCGAGAGATGCGGTTTGGAAGAAAGCAAAGGAAAGCGCCTTTCTGAAAGAGAGAGAATTTAGATTCGGTGAGGACCTGACTGCAGCAGACAAGGCAGCAAAGGCAAAGTTGTGGCCTCTCGTCCAACAGGCCTGAAATCAAGGAAGGGTTGCATACTACAAGGGAATCAGAGCCTTTTTCACCGACGGAAAATAAATTCGACATGGTTGATTTGCTCCGCCGGTAGGCTTACAAGGTAGCCCATTCCCTACAACAAACTGAGCGTTCTAGTTTTGAATTCTGGTGTTATGGTGTACAAGTTAATACATATATGAAGCACCTTTTATAGAGAGGGTAGAGTTGAGATTGCATAGGATTTTTCTTTCTATTTTGTATATATGGATTTTAAGTTTGTCAATCAATGCCAGGGGGATACCTGTTGAAGAGGAAAGCGTTTTTGTTTGCTTTGTAAGGACTGCAATGCAGATCTTGTATTCGTTCAAGAAACACATTCATGCAAAGAGGATTATAAGTTTTGGAAAAATCAGTGGGGCAGTGACATTTTCTTGGCCCACAGGACTAATCAGTCAGCTGGGGTTGCAATTTTAGCACACAATTTCAAAGGGACATTTCTGTTTACTCAAATGGACATTGGCTAGTGGCGGTCATCAACCACATGGACCGATTATTTGTGTTGTGTAATGTATATGGATACTGTTCTAGTCCTCCAAATAACTTACTTCTAGAGGAAATTGAGGACATTCTTAAGTCTTCTGAGAAAATATCCATACAGTCAGATTATAGTTGGTGGGGATTTTAACATGGTTTATTATGAGTGCTAGATTGTCCCTTAGGCCTAACATTGGTGTGAATAAGTTGGTGAATTTCTGCCAAAGCCTGGACCTAATTGACATGGTGAGTTAAAAACCCTGGAGAGAAACAGTACACATGGAGTAATAGAGATTGTTCACTACAATCAAGAATTAACTTGTGGGTGATGGGCTCAAGACTAGAGGTTAACACTGTAGAGGTAAAAATACTGTCTGCTGTCCTGACGGATCATAAAGTCATATGGCTGACTGTGAGAGTGTGCAGTAATGATGAGAAATACTCTGGTGGTTATCGGAAATTGAATAACGCATTGTTATTACATGATGATTTAAAAAATGTGATTAAGAATCTAATTTCTGTTTACTGGAATTTAGCTACCTCTAATGCAGAATATGGGAAATATTGGGAACTGCTGAAATTTAAAATCTGCTCAGCCTGTATTACTTATGGGAAACGGCTTGCTTTAAGAAGGAGATGTGAGGTAGCTGAGCTCTCTAAGAAAATTGCTGATATCACAGAGATTGAGCATCTTGATTTTAACGAAAAAGCTAAATTGAATGATTTACAGAGTCATCTAGATACATTTTATGAGGAAAAGGCTAGAGGAGCCTTCATAAGATTCAGAAAACAATGGCTTGAAAAAGGCGAAAAGAACAGATACTTTTTTAATTTGGAAAAGAGGAGAAGGGGAACTCGACACACTTCGAATACTTAAGATTAATGGGGTAACCTCTGAGGATAGAGAGTTGGTATCACACTTTACCACTAAGTTTTATGAGAATCTTTACTCCTTAGATAACAGTTTGAGTGACTCTAAGGATCTCCTTGATTCTATAGAGAATGTTAACTCTGTTAGTGAATAATTCAATCGGTCTTGTTGTGAAGATTTATCCATTATGGACATCCAATACCACAAACAAAATATCATAAATAGATTACCTTTCACGTCAGAACTGTCACAAAATAATAATTAGCTGGCTAGCTATTTTGTTTCCATCTTAACAAAAGGGGTCTATCCCAGAACCCCTAGACCCACTCCAATTTGCATACCGCCCCAACAGATCCACAGATGATGCAATCTCTATTGCACTCCACACTGCCCTTTCCCACCTGGACAAGAGGAACACCTACGTGAGAATGCTATTAATTGACTGTAGCTCAGCGTTCAACACCATAGTGCCCTCAAAGCTCATCACTAAGCTGACCCAGGGACTAAACACCTCCCTCTGCAACTGGATCCTGGACTTCCTGACGGGCCGCCCCCAGGTGGTAAGGGTAGGTAACAATAATAATAATAATAATAATAATATAATATGCCATTTAGCAGACGCTTTTATCCAAAGCGACTTACAGTCATGCGTGCATACATTTTTGTGTATGGGTGGTCCCGGGGATCGAACCCACTACCTTAGCGTTACAAGCGCCGTGCTCTACCAGCTGAGCTACAGAGGACCACAACAACACATCTGCCACGCTTATCCTCAACACGGGGGCCCCTCAGGGGTGCGTGCTCAGTCACCTCCTGTACTCCTTTTCACCCATGACTGCATGGCCAGGCACGACTCCAACACCATCATTGTTTGCCGACGACACAACAGTGGTAGGCCTGATCACCGACAACGATGAGACAGCCTATAAGGATAACAACCTCTCCCTGAACGTGATCAAGTCAAAGGAGATGAAAAAAAAAAGAGGACTGAGGACGCCCCCATTCTCATGGACGGGGCTGTAGTGGAACAGGTTGAGAGCTTCAAGTGCCTTGGTGTCCACATCACCAACAAACTATCATGGTCCAAACACACCAAGACAGTCGTGAAGAGGGCACGACAAAGCCTATTCCCCCTCAGGAGACTGAAAATATTTGGCATGGGTCCTCAGTAGTAGTAATAATAATAATAATAATAATATGCCATTTAGCCTCAGATCCTCAAAAGGTTCTACAGCACCATCAAGAGCATCTTGACTGGTTGCATCACCGCCTGGTATGGCAACTGCTCGGCCTCCGACCGCAAGGCACTACAGAGGGTAATGCTTACGGCCCAGTACATCACTGGGGCCAAGCTTCCTGCCATCCAGGACCTCTATACCAGGCGGTGTCAGAGGAAGGCCCTAAAAATTGTCAAAGACTCCAGCCACCCTAGTCATAGACTGTTCTCTCTGCTACCGCACGGCAAGCGGTACCGGAGCGCCAAGTCTAGGTCCAAAAGGCTTCTTAACAGCTTCTACCCCCAAGCCATAAGACTCCTGAACAGCTAATCATGGCTACCCGGACTATTTGCATTGCCCCCCCCCCCCCCCTTTACACTGCTGCTACTCTGTTTATCTATGCATAGTCACTTTAACTCTACCCACATGTACATATTATCTCAATACCCTCGACTAACCGGTGCCCCCGCACATTGATATAGCCTCCCTACTGTTTATTTTATTTTACTGCTGCTCTTTAATTATTTGCTTTTTTTTTTTTTTTTACTTATCCATTTTTTACTTAACACTTGTTTTTTTCTTAACTTCATTGTTGGTTAAGGGCTTGTAAGTAAGCATTTCACTGTAAGGTCTACACCTGTTGTATTCGGCGCATGTGGCAAATAAAATTTGATTTGATTTACCTACCGTCTTGATGGTCGAGCTCTAGTGACAGTTTATGACAGTTGGAATAGCAAGCTCCTCATTAACTTGTGCGCTGGTAGACAGGAAGTAGATCTGCACGAGTGCAGGTGGTGGTCCACCATGGATGTTTAAACTCAACAAGTAGCCACACTGAATACGGCCACGCAAAATGACTTTCGAAGCTGAAATCTAAATTTAGTTTGTCTAACGTATAAATTCTATTTGAACTACCATTTTATGGAAAAATAAATAATGAAATTGTAATTATTTAAAGCAGCCTGTGTAATCATCTGCCAGACAGTAGCCACAATCGGCCCGAGCCCCAAGTTATACATTTGGGCCAGATAACTCACACCGGAATTGGCCCGAGCTCAATCCCCGCATCCTAGCCATAAGTAATACTGCCGAAGGCCACATGAAGTCGGCCGAGTCTGACTCTCAGCCGGAATCGGCCCATATCCACTGTGCTAGCTGGGTTTCCACTAGATTTTGGAACATTGCGGCGGGGACTTTCTTCCATTCAGCCACAAGCATTAGTGAGGTCGGGCACTGATGTTGGGCGATTAGGCCTGGCTCGCAGTTGGCGTTCCAATTTATCCCAAAGGTGTTAGATGGGGTTGAGGTCAGGGCTCTGTGCGGGCCAGTCAAGTTCTTCCACACCGAACTCGACAAACAATTTCTGTATGGACCTCGCTTTGTGCACGGGGGCATTGTCATACTGAAACAGGAAAAAGCCTTCCCTAAATTGTTACCACAAAGATGGAACCACAGAATCGTATAAATGTCATTGTATGCTGTAGCGTTAAGATTTCCCTTCACTGGATCTAAGGGGCCTAGCCCGACCATGAAAAACAGCCCCAGATCATTATTCCTCCTCCACCAAACTTTACAGTTGGCACTATGCATTGGGGCAGGTAGCGTTCTCCTGGTATCCGCCAAACCCAGATTTGTCCGGAATGCCAGATGGTGAAGCGTGATTCATCACTCCAGAGAAAGCGTTTCCACTGAGTCCAATGGCGGCGAGCTTTACACCACTCCAGCAGATGCTTGGCATTGCACATGGTGATCTTAGGCTTGTGTGCGCTGCTCGGCCATGGAAACCCATTTCATGAAGCTCCCGATGAGCAGTTATTGTGCTGACGTTGCTTCCAGAGGCAGTTTGGAACTCGGTAGTGAGTGTTGCAAACGAGGACAGACGATTTCTACGCGCTACAGCACTCAACGTTCCCGTTCTGTGAGCTTGTGTGGCCTACCACTTCGCAGCCATTGTTGCTCCTAGATGTTTCCACTTCAAAATAACAGCACATACAGTTGACTGGGCAGCTCTAGCAGGGCAGAAATTTGACAAACTGACTTGTTGGAAATGTGGCATCCTATGACGGTGCCATGTTGAAAGTCACTGAGCTCTTCAGTAAGGCCATTCTACTGCCAATGTTTGTCTATAAAGATTGCATTGCTGTATGCTTGATTTTATACACCTGTCAGCAACGAGTGTGGCTGAAATAGCCGAATCCACTAATTTGAGAGGTTGTCCACATACTTTTGTGCGTATATATAGTGCATTGGGCTGTTTTCGCTGTACAACATATAGAAGTTGTCCCTTTTCAGGTTTAGCTAAATGTTAACTCCCTTTCGTTTAAGCTGGTTAGCATAGCTAGCATACAGAAATCTGTGGTGGTAGTCATGTCAACGATGACATGAGCATGTGTTGGGGTTGACATCCATACAAGTGTTATACTTTTTATTTCAACAGTGTGAAATACACAAACAATAGCCTAAATGTAAGCTAATTTTGCTGGGGGGTAATGAGGAGACTCTGGATCTTCCCCCCCATGGCCCTTTCCCATATGCGTTTCCATGGTAATTCCATTGTTTTGGACGAGTTCGATTGTCTGTGCAATGTCCTAGGCTCCGCTAGTAACGTTACCAGCAAACTAACATTAGGCTAGCTAGCTATCTATATGGCTACCCTAACTCACAGATCTTTGTGTTTGACAGTGTGTTTTCCTTCTCAACAGCGTGATTACGGCAAGTGGATATTAAGAGAAGTTAATCTGCTTAGGTGGCGATCTGGCAAAACGTTACAGTACAAGCAAACCAACCAATCCAGGAAATTGTGTGCTGCTGCTTGTTACAGGAAAAGAAGACGTCATGCAGCCCTCTAACGTCTGTTGGTCCTTGATGAAATGGATGGCCCAGCTGGCCTTGATGTTTCTCACTATTCAAGGTGGGGTCATATCTGTATAGAATCAGAATCCTATTTCTTGGCATGTCTCTGTCTACAGACGGTGGTTTGAAGCTTACACTACTACAGTTTATGGGTTGAATTGAAGGTGTTGTCTCCTGTATTTGTTCACCTTGGTCATTAACATTAACTCAGTTTTGTCTCCACCTCTTTCAGCTCAAAACTGCACCAAACCCATAGGAGGGCCAAACATGGTTTTGTCAGATGCCTTCATCCTTCAAGAGACATTTGTAGACGGAGCAACAGTCACTTTTGACTGTGCAATTGGATATGTCCGTGCAGGAGGGTCTCATACAGTCACCTGTACTGCTGGCGTGTGGAGTGAAGTGAAACTGATATGCGAAAGTAATATAATTGTCTTTGTTTTTGTTCTTTAAAGTTATGCCATATTCTTGTAAATGTTTCCAGTTTTTAGTTACCCACTCGCAACTTGATATATTCATTGCCCATCCATAGATCTTATTGAAATACTAGCCTGGAATTCGGACCTGTTTTGTGCTAACATTCAACTCTTTGCCACTCTGTCATTTTGAAAGTCTGACTGGTTTTCTCTATGGTTGTTTCAGGGAAGTCGTGTGGCTCCCCAGGAGAAGTGATGAACGGCAATTTTGATCTCTCTGAGGGGGTCTTGTTTGGCGACAAGGTTGTTGCTACCTGTAACACTGGGTCAGTGCAAGGCTATTTGCTTTCTCTCTCTCTCTCTCTCTCCTCCCCCCCGAATGCTTTCTTGAGTGTTAGATGTGATTTCTTAGAGTTAACATGTCAACTGTCATGTTTCACAAAGCTGTCCATTTGAAGGCCTACTTTTGTGATTTCCAAATAGGCCTTAATCAAACTTCCCCTACCTAAAAGCTCAACCAAATGTTTTTATTTTTTGAATATTATCCGTCATTAATATCTTGATCAGAGCTGTGAACAGTCTCTGTTGTAACCCTTGTTGTCCTAAAAGCAAAGCTCCAGATACTGTCTCATATTGTCTAATCTTTCTCTTTTTCAGCTATTTGCTTGTGGGCAGCAGTGTAAGGACCTGTATGGACGGAGGCTGGGATGGCAGAGTTCCTGTATGTGAAGGTTAGTAATCTGAAGGAGCATGTCAAGTGAAAATAACAATAACTTTAACAGTTCTGTGCTTGTGCCTAAATCAAAACTCTTCATAACTGATCATAACTGTGGTTGTGCTCTAATCTGCAGTGGTGAAGTGTGGAAAGCCCCCCACCATTGTCAACGGTGGGCCTGTTGTCCCACCTGAAGAGACGTATAACTATGGAAGTGTAGTGCAATATGGCTGTGAGAAGGATTACACTCTGGTTGGAACAAAATTCATAACCTGCTCTGAGAATGGAGAATTCCAGCCAGCTCCACCTGAGTGTAAAAGTACGTTGATAGCTTTCCTTTTTTACCATTCTTTTTTTAAATGGTCGTAAGTATGGTTGTTGACAAAACCATAGAACTGCTCACATGAACTGCTCACGCTCATCAAATCTATTTGGGCTTCCACTTCCTTCCTCCACCACACAATCGTGGGCACCGTCAGGGTCCAGACAACCTTATGTAGCAGGCGTAAAAGAAAATGCCTGAGTGGAGTTCCCACATCCGGTTTTCAGCGGAAAGGAAGGTTAAATTAGCTGTATCCTTGAAAACCAGATGCATCCGGTTGTTGGCAACTCCTCTAAGACTAGGGTCCAGATGACGACCTCTGAAAAATTAATTTATAAATATCACAGTATCTAGCCTAACAAAATGAAACATCAAATCAAATCAAATCACATTTTATTGGTCACATGCGCCGAATACAACAGGTGCAGACATTACAGTGAAATGCTTACTTACAGCCCTTAACCAACAGTGCATTTATTTTAAACAAAAAAAAGTAAAAATAAAACAACAACAAAAAAAAGTGTTGAGGAAAAAAAAGAGCAGAAGTAAAATAAATTGACAGTAGGGAGGCTATATATACAGGGGGGTACCGTTGCACCGGCTAGTTGAGGTAGTTGAGGTAATATGTACATGTGGGTAGAGTTAAAGTGACTATGCATAAATAATTAACAGAGTAGCAGCAGCGTAAAAAGGATGGGGTGGGGGGGCAGTGCAAATAGTCCGGGTAGCCATGATTAGCTGTTCAGGAGTCTTATGGCTTGGGGGTAGAAGCTGTTGAAGTCTTTTGGACCTAGACTTGGCACTCCGGTACCGCTTGCTGTGCGGTAGCAGAGAGAACAGTCTATGACTAGGGTGGCTGGAGTCTTTGACAATTTTGAGGGCCTTCCTCTGACACCGCCTGGTATAGAGGTCCTGGATGGCAGGAAGCTTTGCCCCAGTGATGTACTGGGCCGTACGCACTACCCTCTGTAGTGCCTTGCGGTCGGAGGCCAAGCAGTTGCCATACCAGGCGGTGATGCAACCAGTCAGGATGCTCTCGATGGTGAAGCTGTAGAATTTTTTGAGGATCTGAGGACCCATGCCAAATCTTTTCAGTCTCCTGAGGGGGAATAGGCTTTGTCGTGCCCTCTTCATGACTGTCTTGGTGTGTTTGGACCATGATAGTTCGTTGGTGATGTGGACACCAAGGAACTTGAAGCTCTCAACCTGTTCCACTACAGCCCCGTCGATGAGAATGGGGGCGTGCTCAGTCCTCTTTTTTTTCCTGTTGTCCACAATCATCTCCTTTGTCTTGGTCACGTTGAGGGAGAGGTTGTGTTCCTGGCACCACTCGGCCAGATCTCTGACCTCCTCCCTATAGGCTGTCTCATCGTTGTCGGTGATCAGGCCTACCACTGTTGTGTCGTCGGCAAACTTAATGATGGGCTTAAACATAAGCACAGATGTGCATGAGACAGGCTAAGCAAGCAGTCTAAAACATGTATAATGTGTAGGCCTATTCTAAAAACCATGATGCAACATTGAGCTCAGAGGAAGTGGGTTACAATCGGGTTGGAACCGAAATTATTTTCTAATCATTTAGTTCTGAACAGAACCAGTATTATTTTTGTTCCGTTCCACTGTTCCGACCTGCAAAATAAAGTTTGGAACCAGTTGGAAGCCCCAAAAAGTACTGGTTTATATAATTCCTTTATGTTCCTTAATTATTATTTTTTTTTTTTACATTTAGCTTGATGTTAAATTACTTCACAAATGAGTGTGGATAGAGCAGCATTTTATGGAGCAGGCAAGCTATAGCCTAGTTGTTTAGTGTAGTGTGTGAGATGCGACTGACATTTTGCAGATGGGGAGAGAGCGAGAAGGTGGAGGAGGAGGCTTGGCTTGAAATGCTGAGCATCTTTTATTACATGCGTTATCTGAATTAGGCCTATAGAATTATACCTATGGAGGAACTTTGAATGTCTTTGAACTTCTGAGAGTTGGTTTAAAGTGGGTCAGAGCTAGCTAGCTAGCTAGCTAGCTAAAAAGCTTGTGTGTGCAGAGCGACACCAGAATTAAAATCACGTCTTACCTTTTCGTAGTTAATAAATCCGAAGTGAAACGTGATAACTATAGTATCCTTAACTAACAATGAAAGAGTTAATCCATTCTTCTGTAATTAAAAATCTCTCCCTAATTTCTGAATCACGCTTGTAATGTCAGTAGTAGCCTATGCTTCGGAGGGGAAGGGGCAGGTACACAAAGTGAGGTCTTCGCATAGGCTCTTTTTATTTATTTTTATGAATTACCCCCTTTTTCTCCCCAATTTCTTGATATCCAATTGTGATGAAATTATGATCTTGTCTCATCGCTGCATCTCCCCAACGGGGAAGTTATTTTCCGGTCTTCGGTTCTGTTCCCTGAACCGGTTCCAACCCCTTGTTACAATAGAATCTACCCTATTTATTGAATAGATAATGATTAGTTGCAGGATTCATAAATGGGTGGTTATAACATTTATTTATTACTTCAAGTAGCCTATAACTTGTAGCTAATTACATCTCTCTTTGTTTATGTCTGCAGTGGTCTCATGTCCTCGTCCTGTTGTTGAGAATGCCGTTCGGATTGAAGGCCGTCCCCCCTATATGTACAAGTCTTTTGTGACATATAAGTGCAACGCTGGATATGAGATGGATGGACAAGCCAGTCTGACCTGTGAAATAGAAGGCTGGTCAGCTCCTTTCCCTACATGCAGAGGTAAGACTGATTTCAGTGTTTATTTAACACACTTTAGCCTACAGTGAGGGAAAAAAGTATTTGATCCCCTGCTGATTTTGTACGTTTGCCCACTGAAAGAAATTATCAGTCTATAATTTTTATGGTAGGTTTATTTGAACAGTGAGAGACAGAATAACAACAAACAAATCCAGAAAAACGCATGTCAAAAATGTCTTTGTCAGTGGGCAAACGTACAAAATCAGCAGGGGATCAAATACTTTTTGCCATCACTGTATATTTTAGCTCAGATATTTTGTGCTTTATTTGGTGTGTAGGACCAATGTGTCAGCAAACTGTATTTTTTTAATGGAATTCACCTCAATTCATATAAACACATTGAGGCCTTTTTGATAAGAAAAGATGGTATGTGTGTTAATGTTCATGCTAATTGTTATTTTTCACCATATGCATGCCTGTGCATAGCAATCTCAAGTATTTATTTTCCCTGTATGCATTAAGTTTGGATTTGGTCATTTTAGTTTCTATCTATTATTTCAGTCCTGTTTTTGATCCGTTCCTTGATACTAGCCTTTGCATTTTAGTAACAAAGCTGGTTACGATTGAAGACAAACTGGTGTTCAAACTGGTGTTCAAGTTCAACCTTTGATCCATTCAAATAACCCTATGGTCTAGTGAGCTGCTTACCTTCCATTGTCCTCTGCTACCTTTACACTGAGTGATTGACTAGCCATCTTGTCCAAGACCATTCTACTCCTCAGACCACACTGGCTGACTAAAGCAGTTGAGGGATCACAACAGTAAGAAGTTGTGACAGACCGGAAAATAATAGTTAGTGGCCTAATTATATGTCATGCCTTTTATAGCCCTTCTGACTACAACAAAGCCCCCTACTACTACGAAGAGAAGCACAACCCAAGGTAGAGTCCATTTTTAAAACTGCTTGCCACAATCCTAATCTAATTTGTGTGTGTGTGTGTGTGTTAGGGCAGACCCCCCCCCCCCCAAAAAATAAATAAATATATATAGACACCCTATGTTTCAATAAAATCAACTATGTGTAGGCTACTTTGCCTGATGCTTTAAGCACTGCAATGAAAAATTAAGACGCACACAAATTACTAAAGAGATCAATATAGCCTAACCAGAATAGTAACCCCCCGCTACTGCTGGCCTTCGCACATTTTGCTATTATGCTTCTGAAGTTGCCGGTAGTAGGCTACACCAGCGGTCGGCAACCTTTTTTCAATTTGGAGTGGCAAGTTATCATACCATTTCTACTGATCTGCGTGCCAGTTATGGTTTTCATATGCACATTTTTGTGGAACAGTTTCATTTTATTTATAATAAAGTCTTCATATCTCAATCAATGTTTACATTTTAGTCACTAACTTACAGTTAGTGAGTGCATACATTTTTCATACTGGCCCCCCGTGGGAATCGAAACCACAACCCTGGCGTTGCAAGCGCCATGCTCTACCAACTGAGCTACACGAGATATGTGGTTAATCAAAATTCTATCTAAATGAAAATGATGCAAATGTAAAAGTAACTTTTATTGCCATTGCCAATATGTAAAAATAGCCTACATAAAGCCAACAAATAAATAAAAAACATTGCAGCACCGCAGGTAGAAAATATCTTGTTCAAAATAAAACTATCAAAACCCCAAATGGGCACATTTTATAAGCCTGCATTTGCACGCAGGCCAGTTAGCCTAGGCCTAGTTCTATGCATAATCAGGTGAGTGTCGTTACTCAAGATTGACAGGAGCGCTTCAAACAGAAGACAATGAATAAGCCTAGGTTGTGCACTCTGCAAACAACGTGTCCACTCCTACAATGACAACGATAATAATAATAATAATAATAATAATAATAATAATAATAATAATATATTTTAAATGCATTAACCAAAAATTACCGTAACCAAACAAACATTGTAGATGAGAAATTATGGTAAATGTGAAACTGGTGTGCCATCCCCGAGGCTTCCACAATGGATTAGTTCACTCAGACAGGCATGAATCAGACAGGTGTCGTGTGTGCCATACATATTTGCCACTGCTTGACTTTTAAATCTAGGTCGACCAACAGCCTGTCGACCAAACAATCGACCAGTCGACTAAATGGGGTTAGCCCTAATATGTATGTATGTAAACTCAGCAAAAAAGAAACGTCCCTTTTTCAGGACCCTGTCTTTCAAAGATAATTTGAAAAAATCAATAACTTCACAGATCTTCATTGTAAAGGGTTTAAACACTGTTTCCCATGCTTGTTCAATGAACCATAAACAATTAATGAACATGCACCTGTGGAACGGTCGTTAAGACACTAACAGCTTACAGACGGTAGGCAATTAAGGTCACAGTTATGAAAACTTAGGACACTAAAGAGGCCTTTCTACTGACTCTGAAAAACACCAAAAGAAAGATGCCCAGGGTCCCTGCTCATCTGCGTGAACGTGCCTTAGGCATGCTGCAAGGAGGCATGAGGACTGCAGATGTGGCCAGGGCAATAAATTGCAATGTCCGTACTGTGAGACGCCTAAGACAGCGCTACAGGGAGACAGGACGGACAGCTGATCGTCCTCGCAGTGGCAGACCACGTGTAACAACACCTGCACAGGATCGGTACATCCGAACATCACACCTGCGGGACAGGAACAGGATGGCAACAACAACTGCCTGAGTTACACCAGGAACGCACAATCCCTCCATCAATGCTCAGACTGTCCGCAATAGGCTGAGAGAGGCTGGACTGAGGGCTTGTAGGCCTGTTGTAAGGCAGGTCCTCACCAGACATCACCGGCAACAACATCGCCTATAGGCACAAACCCACTGCGTGGCCAAGCACGTCTCCAACTCAATCATCAAGTTTGCAGACGACACAACAGTAGTAAGCTTGATTACCAACAATGACGAGACCGCCTACAGGGAGGAGGTGAGGGCTCTGGGAGTGTGGTGCCAGGAAAATAACCTCACTCAATGTCAACAAAACAAAGGAGATGATCGTGGACTTCAGGAAACAGCAGAGGGTGCACCCCCCTATCCACATCGACGGGACCGCAGTGGAGAAGGTGGAAAGCTTGAAGTTCCTTGGCGTACACATCACCGACAAACTGAAATGGTCCACCCACGCAGACAGTGTGGAGAAGGCGGCGCAACAGAGCCTCTTCAACCTCAGGAGGCTGAAGAAATTCGGCTTGGCACCTAAAACCCTCACAAACCTTTACAGATGCACAATTGAGAGCATCCTGTCGGGCTGTATCACCAACTGGTACGACAACTGCACCGCCCGCAACTGCAGGGCTCTCCAGAGGGTGGTGCGGTCTGCTGAACGCATTATCGGGGGCAAACTACCCGCCCTCCAAGACACATACAGCACCCGATGTCACAGGAAGGCCAAAAAGATAATCAAGGACATCAACCACCCGAGCCACTGCCTGTTCACCCCGCTATCATCCAGAAGGCGAGGTCAGTACAGGTGCATCAAAGCTGGGACCGTGATAATTAAAAACCGCTTCTATCTCAAGGCCATCAGACTGCTAAATAGCCATCACTAGCACATTAGAGGCTGCTGCTGCCTATTGAAATCACTGGCCACATTAAGAAATGGAACACTAGTCACTTTAATAATGGTTACAGTCACTTTAATGTTTACATATCTTGCACTACTCCTCTCATGTGTATATACTGCATTCTATACTATAATATTCTACTCTTAGTCAATGCCGCTCTGTCATTGCTTGTCCATATATGTATATTTTCTTAAATTCCATTCCTTACTAGTTTTGTGTGTATTAGGTATATGTTGTGAAATTGTTAGATATTACTGCACTGTCGGAGCTAGAAGCAGAAGCATTTCGCTACACCCGCTATAACATCTGCTAAACACGTGTATGTGACAAATAACATTTGATTTGAATGAGCGTTAAACCGAGGCCTGTACTCTGGAGCGGGATCGATGTGGAGGGTCCGTCATGGTCTGAGGCGGTGTGTCACAGCATCATCGGACTGAGCTTGTTGTCATTGCAGGCAATCTCAACGCTGTGCGTTACAGGGAGGACATCCTCCTCCCTCATGTGGTACCCTTCCTGCAGGCTCATCCTGACATGACCCTCCAGCATGACAATGCCACCAGCCATACTGCTCCTTCTGTGCATGATTTCCTGCAAGACAGGAATGTCAGTGTCTGCAATGGCCAGCGAAGATCCCGGATATCAATCCCATTGAGCACGTCTGGGACCTGTTGAATCGGAGGGTGATGGCTAGGGCCATTCCCCCCCAGAAATGTCTGGGAACTTGCAGGTGCCTTGGTGGAAGAGTGGGGTAACATCTCACAGCAAGAACTGGCAAATCTAGTGCAGTCCATGAGGAGGAGATGCACTGCCGTACTTAATGCAGCTGGTGGTCACACCAGATACTTACTGTTACTTTTGATTTTGACCCCCCCCTTTGTTCAGGGACACATTATTCAATTTCTGTTAGTCACATGTCTGTGAAATTTGTTCAGTTTATGTCTCAGTTGTTGAATCATGTTATGTTCATACAAATAATTACACATGTTAAGTTTGCTGAAAATAAACGCAGTTGACAGTGAGAGGACGTTTCTTTTTTTGCTGAGTTTATGTATGTGATATATAATCTACTCATTCAAGGTTTAAAAAACAAACAAATGTTTTACATTGTAGAATAATAGTGAAGACATCAAAATTATGAAATAACACATGGAATCACGTAGTAACCAAAAAAGTGTTAAACAAATCAAAATATATTTTATATTTGAGATTTTTCAAATGGCCACCCTTTGCCTTGATGACAGCTTTGCACACTCTTGGCATTCTCTCAACCAGCTTCATGGCGTAGTCACCTGGAATGCATATCAATTAACAGGTGTGCCTTCTTAAAAGTTAATTTGTGGACTTTCTTTCCTTCTTAATGCATTTGAGCCAATCAGTTGTGTTGTGACAAGGTAGGGGGGTATACATAAGA